AAAGCTCAACCTTCAGAGACTGAACCAGGAAGAAATAGAAAATATAAACAAACCAATCACAAGCACTGAAATTGAGACTGTGATTAAAAATATTCCAATGAACAAAGCCCAGGAACAGATGGCTTCACAGGAGAATTCTATCAAACATTTAGAGAAGAGCTAATACTTATCCTTTTCAAACTCTTCCAAACTATAGCAGAGGGAGGAACACTCCCAAAGTCATTCTACAAGGTCACCATCACCCTGATACCAAAACCAGACAAAGATGTCACAGAGAAAGAAAACTATAGGCCAATATCACTGATGAACATAGATGCAAAAGTCCTCAACAAAATACTAGCAAGCAGAATCCATCAGCACATTAAAAGGATCATATACCATGATCAAGTGGTGTGTATCCCAAGAATGCAAGGATTCTTCAATATATGCAAGTCAGTCAATGTGATACACCATATTAACAAACTGAAGGATAAAAACCATATGATCATCTTAATAGATGCAGAAAAAGCTTTTGACAAAATTCAACACCCATTTATCATAAAAACCCTTCAGAAAGTAGGCATAGAGGGAACTTTCTTCAACATAATAAAGGCCATATATGACAAGGCCATATATGACAAACCCACAGCCAACATCGTTCTCAATGGTGAAGAACTGAAACCATTTCCACTAAGATCAGGAGGAACAAGACAAGGTTGTCCACTCTCACCACTATTATTCAACATAGTTTTGGAAGTTTTAGCCCCAGCAATCAGAGAAGAAAAAGAAATAAAAGGAATCCAAATTGCAAAAGAAGTAAAGCTGTCATTGTTTGCAGATGACATGGTACTATACATAGAGAATCCTAAAGATGCTACGAGAAAATTACTAGAGCTAATCAATGAATTTGGTAAAGTAGCAGGATCCAAAATTAATGTACAGAAATCTCTTGCATTCCTATACACTAATGATGAAAAATCTGAAAGAGAAATTAAGGAAACACTCGCATTTACCACTGCAACAAAAAGAATAAAATACCTAGGAATAAACCTACCTAAGGAGACAAAAGACCTGTATGCAGAAAACTCTAAGACACTGATGAAAGAAATGAAAGATGATCCAAACAGATGGAGAGATATACCATGCTCTTGGTTTGGAAGAATGAACACTGTGAAAATGACTATAGTACCCAAAGCAATCTACAGATTCAATGCAATCCCTATCAAACTACCAATGGCATTTTTCACAGAACCAGAACAAAAAACTTTACAATTTGTATGGAAACACAGAAGACCCTGAATAGCCAAAGCAATGTTGAGAAAGAAAAATGGAGCTGGAGGAATCAGACTCCTGGACTTCAGATTATACTACAAAGCTACAGTAATCAAGACAGTATGGTACTGGCACAAAAACAGAAATATAGATCTGTGGAATAGGATAGAAAGCCCAGAGATAAACCTACGCACATATGGTCACCTTAATTTTGATAAAGGAGGCAAGAATATACAATGTAGAAAAGACAGCCTCTTCAATAAGTGGTGCTGGGAAAACTGGACAGCTACATGTAAAAGAATGAAATTATAACACTCCCTTACACCATACACAAAAATAAACTCAAAATGGATTAAAGACCTAAATGTAAGACCAGACACTATCAAACTCTTAGAGGAAAACATAGGCAGAACACCCTATGACATAAATCACAGCAAGATCCTTTTGACCCACCTCCTAGAGAAATGGAAATAAAAGCAAAAATAAACAAATGTGACCTAATGAAACTTAAAAGGTTTTGCACAGCGAAGGAAACCATAAACAGGAGGAAAAGAAAACCTCCAAATGGGAGAATATATTTGCAAATGAAGCAACTGACCAAGGTTTAATCTCTAAAATATACAAGCAGGTCATGCAGCTCAATATCAAACAAACAAAAAATCCAATCCAAAAATGAGCAGAAGATCTAAATCGACATTTCGCCAAAGAAGATATACAGATTTCCAACAAACACATGAAAGGATGCTCAACATCTCTAATCATTAGAGAAATGCAAATCAAAAGTACAATGAGGTATCATCTCACACCATTGAGAATGGCCATGACCAGAAAATCTACAAACAGTAAATGCTGGAGAGGTTGTGGAGAAAAGGGAACCCTCTTGCACTGTTGGTGGGAATATAAATTGATACAGCCACTATGGAGAACAGTATGGAGGTTCCTTAAAAAACTACAAATAGAACTACCATATGACCCAGCAATCTCACTACTGGGCATATACCCTGAGAATACTATACTTCAAAAAGAGTCATGTACCACAATGTTCATTGCAGCTCTATTTACAATATCCAGGACATGTAAACAACCTAAGTGTCCATTGACAGATGAATGGATAAAGAAGATGTGACACATATATACTGTGGAATATTACTCGGCCGTAAAAGGAAACGAAATTGAGTTATTTGTAGTGAGGTGGATGGACCTAGAGTCTGTCATACAGAATGAAGTAAGTCAGAAAGAGAAAATCAAATACTGTATACTAACACATATATATGGAATCTAAAAAAAAAAAAAAAAATGGTTTTGAGGAACCTAGGGGCAGAACAGGAATAAAGCCACAGACGTTGAGAATGGACTTGAGGACACGGGGAGGCAGAAGGGTAAGCTGGGACAAAGTGAGAGAGTGGTATGGATATATATACACTATGAAATGTAAAATCGATAGCTAGTGGGAAGAAGCTGCATAGCAAACGGAGATCAGCTTGGTGCTTTGTGACCACCTAGAGGGGTGAGATAGGGAAGGTGGGAAGGAGACACAAGAGGGAGGAGATATGGGGATATATGTATATGTATAGCTGATTCACTTTGTTATAAAGCAGAGACTGCCACACTGTTGTAAAACAATTATACTCCAATAAATATGTTAAAAAAATTCGTCAATCCAGAAATAAATGGACAACTTTATTTGAGCCATCCTGAAGATTATTACCTGGAGACAGTCGTTCAGAAAGGTCTGAGGGCTGTTCCACCAGTTAGATGTCAAAGCACAGTTATATAAGGGTCTGAGACAAAGGGTTATAAGTCAAATGACAGATTACACAATCCAGATCTGTGCTTACAAAGCTAATAGTCGGTCATCATAACCCATTAAAAGATTAAGGAGAAAGGTGATGTCCTGAGGAGGTCTGGTTAATGCAGATGCACAGTACTCTCTACAAGGGAGGGAAGAGGGCCAAGCAGGCAGATGAAAGTTTTGTTTAAATTTTTTTTGTCTTGCCGTCAGATATAAATTTTATTTCATCAAGGTCATAGTTAAGTTTGAACCATATAGTGTTGGGGAAGAAGAATTTTCCTCTACCGTTCTAGGTTCTTCTGGTTGTTCTAATAATTAAATTGACATGAGACAGATTAACAGGGGAAAATCACACTAAAGTTTAATAGCTTGTATACATGGGCGTGTCCCAGGAAAACTGAGTAAGTCGCCAAAATGACCAAAGCCCTTACCTTAAATACCAGAGGGAACTGCAAGTGGGAAGGCCTTGAAGCAGAATGAACTTGGAATGTTTAAGAAATAGAAAGACAAGTGTGGTTGGAAAGTGCGAATGAGATGAGGGTAGAGAGATGATCAAAGGCAAGATCACCCAGGGCCTTATAGGCCATTTAAAGAAGTTTGGATACTATCTTAAAGGGTATGGGTACAATTGAAGGGATTCAACAAGGTCAGCTTAGAGTTTTTAAGAGGTTACTTGGGCTGCTGTTTGGAGAATGCACTGTAACGGTACAAAGTAGAATGCCTCTGTCATCCAGGCAGGAGGTGATGGGGGCTTGAGGCAATGCAGGTGGACAGATTAGATGTGCAAAATCTTCCAGAGTGAAAAAGAATCTTAATGGATAGGATATGGGTATGAGTAGAAGGCAGATGGTATGAGGATTGTCAATATTATCAAAAGCTTAAAACAAGAGACCCTATAGAAATTACACACTGAGGTTTATCCCTATATTCCTAAAGCTGGTGAGCAATCTCCGTGATTCTTGGTAACTTGGCAGAGTTTCTGAAAATCATGGACTTGTGTGACTTTTTCTTCCATTTAAGAAGATTTAGGTTACTGCAAAGGCCACTAGACATGATCAGTTCAACCTAGTAGATATGGAACGAAAATGTATGAAAAATGTGTTCTGTTATTTAAAGAACCACTTGACTAGTATCTTGCCCTGGGGGTGCCATAAAAAGATGTCAGTTCAGTTTGGTGCTCCTCAGGTTGGGTTCTTAGGAAGGAGATGCTGAGGCAGAGTTTGGAGTGCTAGATATTTATCAGGGATCCATACCTGTGAAAGGAAGAAGGGAGAAGCAAGATTGGGCAAATAAAAAAACTCAATTTCAATGCATGTCCAACAAAGTGTGGGTCAACCCCGAAGGGAGCTCTGGAGCAAATATTGCCCATCAGAGTGACCTGCATTAAGCCCAAACTGCTGGTTCTTTACATCCTTGCCTCACTCTGTCATTGGGTATAGGCCACCCCAGGAATGGTGTGCCTTTGGGCGAGGCTGTTCTCTGCAGCTGAGTCCAACCCTGAAGCTGGTGACAGGTACGCATCAAGTGCTTTCTAGAAGTGGATTGCACATCCCCATATCCACCACAAGTACTGCATTGCTGAAGAGAAGTAATAAGTAATTTGCCTAGCTGCTTTATTCTTTAATTTAGGTATTTCTTTCCTCTCGAGAACTCAAGATAAAACATACACAATTTTTGAATCACAAAATATTTACCAGTCACTGGGACAATCCAAGAGAGGGTAACTAAGAGATAAGAGATTGGTTGGAGAAACCAAGATCAGGAAAAGCACAGAGAGAAAAAACTAATGGAAGGAGGCTTCTAGGAGCAAAGAGAAACAAATTTTAATAAAATACATGGAGTTATGGCATCCGGTCCTGGACCTTATTTCAAAAATCACTACAATGAACATATCTTTAAAAGAGTTTTTTAAATTACATTGTAAAATGTTATTAGCTCTCTTTTGTTTCCTTGACAGATATGGAAAACATGGATAAAAGAGACCGACCATTCATGACAGTTCAGAAAAATGATACCTCAGGTATTTTTTCTACTTCTAAGCCTGTTTTATGATTTATGGTGGATTATTGGTGATATAAAATTGGAATGTTGATTTTCAAAAGTTTAATAATGGAAGGTTCATTTTTTGGTCACATTGAAGATTTCTCCAGTTCCCTTACAATAGTCAGGCCAACCATTCTTTCCTGTGCTTGTCCTTAAATCGTTTGGGAGCTTCTTGCAGTCATGTGATCCATGATATACTTAATAAATCTTAATTGCCTTACATAGCACAGCTGAATTTTTCACATCATTGAGGCAATGATGCTTGAATTACCCAAATTTTTATACTTCATGCTACTTGGCCTTAGAGTATCCTCTACCTATATTTTACTTTATCAAAATAGTTAGTATCAAACTAAACTAGAACTTTTTATATGCTTGGATGGAGAATGGCTGCCCAAACATTTTGTATCATTTTAATCTTATCTGGCCTATTAAATTTTTTAGGTTTCAGTTTCAACCTTTTTTCGTATTTAATTGAAATCAATTTTTCTAAGTTAAAAATGCAGCTATGACTTTAAAAATTCTATTTACTTAATTTGATTCATAAGAATGTGATACTTAAATATTCACAGTTGATGACTAACACATTTTAAATAAAAAGAATGGTCACACTTTGTAACTTGACAATATAATTTTCTAAAATTCTCAATGTACTAACTTAAATGGAAGTATTCCTTTTATGCCCTTTTAGAAGTAATTTTATGCAAGGAATATAGTGGTAATATTTTTTAAATTTCCAGAAATTGAGGTTCAAATATACTACAAATATTGCAATATTATTACTTCTCATATTTGCTTTAAAATCTTTAAAAATAAGACCTGCAGTCAACATGTTGCCATAACTCTATTTTGACTTCCAATAACATAATACTATTTCTTTGTCATTTTCTGTTTTTGATGAAAAACAGATAATCTGGTATTTCGTATGAAGAACGAAATGAGAAGCACCAAGTATAAACCAGTAGACTATCAACAATTGCATGCATTAACCAAAGCAAAAAAATTAGCTTCTGCCTCTACAGAGCTAAAGGTTAGAAGTTGTGTGTGTGTGTGTGTGTGTGTGTGTGTGTGTGTGTTTTCTAGTTTTGGAAAATTGAATTGCTAGAAAGTAAAATGGTAGTTACAATGAAATGTGAAAATGAATAACATTCTAAATAGTTTTTAGAATCTTCCAACTATTGGTAATAGTGAATAGCAACATTTTTTTTTCCTATTTCTTTATTTTTTTGGTTGTGTTGGGTCTTCGTTGCTGCATGTGCACTTTATTTGTGGCGAGCGGGGGCTACTCTTTGTTGCGGTGCACGGGCTTCTCATTGCGGTGGCTTCTCTTGTTGTGGAACACAGGCTCTAGGCGCACGGGCTTCAGTAGTTGCAGCACACAGGCTCAGTAGCTGTGCCTTGAGGGCTCAGTAGTTGTGACTTCTGGGCTCTAGAGCGCAGGATCAGTAGTTGTGGCGCACGGGCTTAGTTGCTCCACGGCATGTGGGATCTTCCTGGACCAGGGCACAAACTCGTGTCCCCCTGCACTGGCAGGCAGATTCTTAACCACTGCGCCACCAGGGAAGCCCTGTGAATAGCAACATTTATTGAATGCTCTCAGACACTGTGCTATGTGGTCTACATGCATTACTCATTTAATGTTCTTAACAACCCCATGAGGCCTGAATTCAACTTTATTTTTAGAAAGATAGCTATCTCATTAATTTTCAACAATTTCTAACATAATCTAAAAAAAATTAAAATTGCTAGTAAGTGCTAGCCATGGATTATCATCTAATTTAAAGCTCCTTCTGCAACACCATACAAAGTATGCCCCCAGGTGCCTCTCTTTTCTCGAATTCCCTTTTTGCCCTGATCTAAGAAGAGGTGAGCCTCGACTAGATTTGAAAGAGGTTTATGTGCAAGTGATTGTGCACAGTATTTTAGGACCATGGATGGGTTTAGGATTATTCAGGCAGTATGTTTCCCTCTTATGCAAATAATAGAGTACATTATAAACAGCATTTTCATTGCTTGGTTAAATTAAAAAATCTGGTTTAGCAAAGCAACATATTAAGCAATTTACAAGCTTTCATGTGTATTTAATATTTTTGTGTTATATTAGTTTTACATAGCTTTTTATTGTTAATGTCTTTTTAAAAAGGCAACTCTCACGATTTCAAGGCACATTTGATACCCTATTCTGGGGAAATTACCATATATTCATGAGCTATGTCTCCTCAAACTAAGGAGACCACTTAAAAAGTAGGGCACTATTTGTTTGTTTCAGATATAGCTTTAAAATAATTTAATGTTATTCAAAGAAATTTTATGGCAAAATCACTTACATAACTATCATCCTAATAAAACTATTTTCATATTTCTGACTTCTGTACTGATCTGTTGTATATATACCATCTATACACATATGTATTGATACATATAATAAATACTTATTATGTGCCTTGAATATATAATGGTGAACAATATATAACACCTACCCTCATGGGGTGTACTATTTGCAGGAGAGAGGGAGGAGAGAAGCCAGTGTTTATCAAATAAGCCCTGAAATAAAATTATATTAAATATAAACTCCAATAAAAAAGGCTGTCTGGTGTATAATAACAGGACTTGATCCTAATTGGGTGGGAAGGCTTTTCCAAGGAAGTGACATTGTAATTGGAATCTCAAGGACAATAAGAATTAGCCAAACAAAAACAGGAGTGATGAGTACTCCAAATAGAAAAAGATGCATACCTTATCACATTCCAGTTTTTGGATATTTAGGTTGTATCCAAGTTTGTGATATTGGAAATCATGTTTCCGTAAATATCTTCATGCATAGACACTTTATGTGGATAAATTCCCGTAATTGGGATGTCTGAGCCAAAAAGTATGAATGTTTTTTAGTTCTCTCCCAAAGTACTGTTGTAGTAAAGTTGCCACTACAAACGTTTTTGTCTGCACCCTTTTCAGTATTGGAATGTGTACAGTTGACTCTTGAGCAATGTGAGGGTTAGGGGTGCTGACCATCTATTGGAAGAAAATCTGTGTATAATTTATAGTTAGCCCTCCTAGTCAGCCCTCTGAATCCAAGGTTGCTCTATATCTATGGCTCTACATCCTCAGATTTAACCAGCTGCAGATTGTGTGATACTGTAGTATTTAGTGAAAAAAATGCACGTATAAGTGGACCCATGCAGTTCAAACCTGTGTTGTTCAAGGTTGACTGTACATATATGTTCATATATATATTCCAAATATTATCTATATAACTGTTCATCCATCTGTCTGTCCATCTGTCCATCCATCTATTCCTCTATCCAGATGCACATTTTGGATGAATGGGGAATCGTTGAATGTTAAAATCAATATTTGGTCAAAGTGAATTTCTCTTTGATGATAGGATTTCTATCAAAGAGTAAACATATTTAAAATTTTAAATTATTAATGTGGTTTTTTGAGTTTGACATTAAGTTCAGGGACAATAATTTCTTAGCACTGTCAGCTAACTATAGTGCTTCTCCGGTCACTGTGTTATACATTTATGAGAGTAAATGGATGATCACTCTCAACTGACATTTTAGATAACATCAATAACCTTTTTGTTCACAGAATATCATTCATGAAGAAGCTTTTTAGTTATATATTTTCTAGAAATAACTTGGTACCTGGGATTCATAGCTTGACAAATCTCAAAAAAATCTCTTGCCATCAACTACTGAAAATGGTTCACATTCTGTAGCAATCATTTTGACAAGCTTTTTTGCTTCCATTTTTAGTCTCCATCGATTCATAATAATAAATAATTTTCCTTTTAAAGCATTTTTGTAATATCCGTTGTTTTGAATTTGGTCAGTGAGAACAAAATGTGTCCTGGATACCTCATCATTTTCAAACAGTCTTCTTTCCTTTATACAATCTTCATTTTTTATTATATCTAGTTTAAGGAAGATTTATTGGGAATGTCATTTTCATGATTTTTGGACTCTTCCCTTCTCATTTAATTTAGAGATATCAACTTGACATTTTGCTTTTAATTTTTTCTTGTAAGATGTGAACAATTCTCAAATAGGGCTTTTTCTTGAAAGATACATGGCTTAAATGGAATTAGATAACTGAAAATTAAATACAATTCTTAAAATTTATTTTGTTTAATGTTATGAATGCTAATACATCAAACAGCCTACATCAACTGGAATTATGATAATATTGTCTCTGTTATCCTTTCTTATATTATTGTTTAACATTTTATGAAATATGTGTTGACTGAAGAATATTTTATTCTTAATGTTACATAGTTAACACATTCTCTTTTAATATTTGTATTATCAGTCAACTCCCAATTTTTTTTTACTAATTAAATATGCCCATTTTTTTGCACATGAAATTAACAGCTTTAACAATCATTATTACTACGACAGTTTACTGTGACAATATTAAATGTAAACATACTCAAGCTGAATGATAGAATGTTAACATTTAAAGCACATAAGAAGGACTTCCCTGGTTGCGCAGTGGTTAAGAACCTGCCTGCCAATGCAGGGGAGACGGGTTCGATCCCTGGTCTGGGAAGATCCCACATGCCACGGAGCAAATAAGCCCGTGCGCCACAGCTACTGAGCCCGCGTGCCACAACTACTGAAGCCCATGCGCCTAGAGCCCATGCTTCACAACTAGAGAAGTCACTGCAATGAGATGCCCGTGCACTGCAACGAAGAGTAGCCTCCATTTGCTGCAACTAGAGAAAGCCCGTGCACAGCAACGAAGACACAACGTGGCCAAAAATTAATTAATTAATTAATTTTTTAAAAAGCACATAAGATTTTTGCTTCAAGTTACATCTAGAATGCTTAGCTATATTTGAAAACAAATTAACAGTATTTTTAATTAAAAATAAATTAGGAAGTCTTGCCTGATTCGTTTGACTGGTATTGTTATACTGATTAGATGTGATAGTGACCTATATAATTGCTGTGTTATTGATCATGCACAAATTCCAGGATGCCAGATGAGACACTGATGTGCACATTGAGTAATCTAGTCTTTCAAAGGCTGAGACTGAACCTGAAGCCAAATAGTAGATGTGGGCTGAAAATTGAGACCAATTTTTGGTACATTATATGTTAACTGTTCATTCCCAGTTAAGTACAAAAGAGATCTTTACAATTATTTTTATTTGAATTTCTTTGCTTAGCAAGAATGAATATTTCTTGTCCAACTCAAGTAATCCATCTACTAATTCTTTTTTTAAAACACTATATTATGGAAAATTGCAAAAATATGCAAAATTGGAGTGAATGGTATCATTAATCTCCACGTAACATTATCCAGCTTCAACTATGAACAACTCTTGGCCGTTATTTCTTCTGTACTCCCACCTACGACTTCCCTCTGCACCAGATTATTTTGAAATTTCAGACATCATAATATTCACCATAAATATTTCAGCAGTATCTCTAAAAGATTAGGGCTATAAAACCCCAAACCCTACAATACCATTACTATTAAGATGTTCATGATTTCTTAATAATTTCAAATAATCAGTGTTAAATTTCCCTGATTGTCTCCAAATTTTTTTCTTAAAGTTTATTCAAATTAGTATCTAAATAATATCCATATATTACAATTGATTTTAATTTTTTAGGTTTCCTCCTCCATCCTCTTGTATCCTTTTTTTTAATATAAATTTATTTTATTTTATTTATGTATTTTTGGCTGCGTTGGGTCTTCGTTGCTGTGCACAGACTTTCTCTAGTTGTGGTGAGCTGGGGCTACTCTTTGTTGCAGTGCACGGGCTTCTCATTTCAGTGGCTTCTCTTGTTGCAAAGCACGGGCTCTAGGTGCCTGGGCTTCAGTAGTTGTGGTGCAGGGAATTAGTTGCTTCGCACCATGTGGGATCTCCCCGGACCAGGGCTCGAACCCATGTCCCTGGCATTGGCAGGCAGATTCTTAACCACTGTGCCACCAGGGAAGCCCCATCCCCTTGTATTCTTATAATTTAATTTTTGAAGAAATTGTAGTGTTTATCCTTTATAGTTTCTTACAGTCTGGATTTTGCTGATTACATCCTGGTGGTGTCATTAAACATATTTTCCTATCTCTTGTATTTCCAGTAATTGGTAGTTATATCTGGAGACTTGATCAGATTCAAGTTCAATTTATTTTGGTAAGAACACTTATTGACAGAATCTCTGCACTTGTTTTTTTCTATTATAAATTGTGCTGCAGTGAATAGCTTTGTTCACCTATCTTTTTATACTTGGGCCAATACAGTTTTCAGGTAGATTTCTATAGGTAAGATTGCTTGGTCAAAGGATAAATCCATATGAAACTCCAAATTCCCTTCTACGGGGGGTTGCATCATTTTGTATTCCCACTAGCAACATAAGAGAGAGAACATGTTTTCCCATAGCCTCACACAGTGTTTTGTTAAATATTTGAGTTTTCACCAACCTGATAGATGAGGAATTGCATCTTAGTATCGTTTTTAAAAATTTTTTATTTCTTCAGTTCTGTATTGAGTTATAACTCACATATAGTGAAGTACACAAATCTAAAGTGTACATATCAATGAATTTTGACATAGGTACATGTAACCAACACTTAAATTGTCCACTAATTACTGTTGTTTATATCTAAAGATGGATCATCTGGCCCAAAGGGCTTTCACGGTATTTCAGGGTACCTATTTAGGGTTTTATTATCTTGGCTCATCACAATAAACTACTTTCGAATGTATTACTTTTGTAAATTTTAATTCATCAGCATTTTGCATAAATCATCATCCACCTAAAATATTGCTTTCAAATGGCTTATTGCTCAGCAAAATGAATTGGAATCCCCTAGAAATTACTGTATTGAAAAAGACACAATTTTAAATCTTCTTGTTTGTTTAAAAACTTTATTTTTAAAAAAAAATTTGGCCGAAGATAGAAGTAGAGTCAATGAGTGAATTTACAAAAAACTCAGGATGTTCTGCAAAATATTCGAAGTGTCTAGTGAAAAACTGTAGCTTTATTTTCACTTTTATAGTCTACTTAATTGGCCTTTCCCTGGGACCAAAGGCAGTAGCATTGATTTTTTTTTTTAATTATAGAAATGTGTCTACATCTTTCACCAATGTGTTTTAATTTTTTTGTACAGTATGGACCAAATATGTCAAAGAAATCTAATTTTAAAAGTTGTGCCTGCTGCAACAAACTTCAGAGACTATAGATGGTAAATAGTTGGAATGAGTTTTAGGCATTCTTCAAGCAAACACAAGTGTCTGATTTTAGAAACACTACATATATACTTTTATTTTTTCTGCGAAATAGAGAGATGGCTGTATGTTTTCCTGCAATGTCCTGTTCTGATTTATTTATTTAATAAATTTATTTTATTTATTTACTTGTGGCTTCATTGGGTCTTCATTACTGTGTGTGGGCTTTCTCTAGTTGTGGCGAGCCTGGGCTACTCTTCGTTGCAGTGCGTGTGCTTCTCACTGTGGTGGCTTCTCTTGTTGCAGAGCACGGACTCTAGGCACACGGGCTTCAGTAGTTGTGTCACGTGGGCTCAGTAGTTGTGGCTTGCGGGCTCTAGAGCACAAGCCACAGGAGTTGTGGCGCAGGGACTTAGTTGCTCCACGGCATGTGGGATCTTCCCGGACCAGGGATCGAACCCATGTCCCCTGCAATGGCAGGCGGATTCTTAACCACTGCACCACCAGGGATGTCCCTCCTGTTCTGATTTAAATGTACTTTTCTCCTAAATTTCATAATTGTAGCACTCTTAAGAAAAGATTTGACTTTGCCTTTGTGTTTTTTGTGTGTTTGTTTTGCGGTACGTGGGCCTCTCACTGCTGTGGCCTCTCCCGTCGCGGAGCACAGGCTCCGGACGCGCAGGCTCAGCGGCCATGGCTCACGGGCCCAGCCGCTCTGCGGCATGTGGGATCTTCCCGGACCGGGGCACGAACCCGTGTCCCCTGCATCGGCAGGCAGACTCTCAACCACTGTGCCACCAGGGAAGCCCCAACTTTGTGTTTTTTTAAGTAATGTTTGGGTTATTTTGTTTTCTTATACCCCTAATTTTGAATCAGTAACCAGAACAGTGGAAAGATAAACTCAAGGTTATGGTAATCAGTGAATGACAGCTAGAAATAGCATGCATTATAGTCGTTTTAGAACTTTTCTTCTGAAGTTTTTATATCTTCAGTATGGATCTGTTAAGCCTTTCAGGGTACTAAGTATTCTAGTAACAGGGAAAATATAAAATATGCATATTTCATCAAGTTTCTGATTTCAGATTAACACTTTTATAGATGTTTAAAAGTATTAATATGAAATACACAAGTTCAGCATGTACATGTCAGTCAGAGTCTAACCACTTAAGGATTTAGAATAGAGGGGTCTTTAATGCAGGAAATGGTTACACAGGTGATAGAGCTGAGAAGCCAGAGGACTGTGAACCAACACAGGGATTAGAACAGAAGTGAGTCATTGCCTTGCCTGGGTTGAAGGGACATTTAGAAAAAGCAAGGTTGTAGTACATCCCATAGGCTGAGGTTACCCAGAGATAGTTAGAACCATAATAGAAATGTCAAGAAATGTTGGTGCAATGGAGAAGATGCAGATGCTTGTGGAGACCCCTCTGGGAGAGAGAAGGCAGGAGAAGTGAGTAATCCTTTGGCTTCTCCCTTCCTCCCTCCCTCCCTCCAATCTCCCACTACCAATGTCTCCCTTTGGCTGAACCCAGCTGGAAGGCAGTTGCTAGGGGTGTCTGAGAAACGCAGGCTGCTCTCTGATGTGGAGCAGATGAGGAAAATGGCCAAGAATGGATCTTAAGGTAAACAGACCCAGGCCTGACATATCTTATCAACACAAACCCAAAAGCATTTTTTAAAAGTCATAAAATTCGGGAAAAATTTAAATTTAGTTGAAAATTTGGGTTTCAATGCTACCTGATTTTTCACTGTTTCCTTGTTTAGTACCTTCAAATAAAGATTTGCCTGAAATTTAAAATTTAAGTTTTAATTTAAAATTTTATTTACAAAGTCATGGAGTTGAAAGATTAAAATTGTATATACAGTTCAAGGTCACATTTCTAGTAGATACTGAAGCTGAGACTAAAGCCAGGCCTCCTAATAACTTATCCAATGACCTTTTCCCATCCAGTGGTGAAGGATCACATAAAACCAATCTGGGGCTTCCCTGGTGGTGCAGTGGTTGAGAGTCCGCCTGCCGATGCAGGGGACACGCGTTCGTGCCCCGGTCCGGGAAGATCCCACAAGCCGCGGAGCGGCTGGGCCCGTGAGCCATGGCCGCTGAGCCTGCGCGTCCGGAGCCTGTGCTCCGCAACGGGAAAGGCCACAACAGTGGAGAGGCTCGCATACCGCAAAAAAAAAAAAACAAAAAAAACCCAATCTGAACACTGAGGTTCTATGTGATTCTGCTGTTTATGAGTTTGATGGTCTTGACCAAGTCTTTTAACCTCTCTGAACTTCACTGTCCTCATCTGTAACATGGGAGTAACGATGCCTATGATGCCTGGCAGGGAAGATGTGTAAAAAGGCAAGAAAATATATGGAATACTCTTGCAGATTTTCTGGGGCTAAGTGAATTAAGGTGTTATTTATTGTATGTATGGAAAATAGAATTACTTCACCTTTAGAAAGGTGCTAATGTTAGAAAATGCACGAATAGGATTGAAAAAGAATAAGTATTTAACTTAGAAATTACAGATTAAACATTTTTATTGTGGAAAACACTTAAAAGACATGGAAATTGCTCCTCTTTTGTTCCTTTAAATCTAGATCAGAAAAGCAGTGCAGACTTCAAAGATATCTAAAGAGCAAACACTAATAAAGCAACACAAGCAAGTGTGGTGGCAAGAACACCAAAGGCTAAATGAAGTCAGGTAAGAACTGAGCGAAATCTCAATTAAGAACATGCAGGAATTACTCAGATGCACTTACCTAGGTAGATGTTCTGTAAATTTCCATATTAATTAAACTATTATAATCAAAATTTAAAGTTACAGTTGAATGTGAGTTAAATTAAAATCCTTTCACTTCTTCAGTTTAATTTGGAATCCAGTGAATATATTAATATGTCTTTTCCTTTCCTTAGGAAAAAAAGAAAGATAATCTTTTATGTCTGCTAATCACTTACTCTTCTGCACTCCCATTCATACATGTGTTTATTTATATTATACTTAGTATTTTGGACTATAATGTTTTGCTTACATATTTGTCTTCTTATGAAGTGATAAACTTCATATGAAGTAGGATACATAGAAAGAGACAGATTAAATGCTTTCAGTAAATGAATGAACTAAGGGATTCAAGTTGAGTGATTTCTAAATGTAATGGCATCATGACTAACTTGTTCGGTTTGGATTTTTGACTTTTACTATTATTTCCAACAGTCACTTCAAGATGAGTTAAAACAAAATAATGATTTTATACTTGATCTTAAATGTAATCTTTGAGAAATAAATTTTTTTTCAAAGGTCAACCAGAAAGTGAAGGCAGATGTGTTTCCCCTCCTTTTAAGGCATCTATATTAGTTTTAATGATGGTGGTATTTATAAAGTATGCTTTTTAAAATATATGCTTGTAAGCATATATTTTATATAAAAACAGATAATTTTGTGGCCTCATTCTAAGCTACATTTCCAAATACCATTAGCTTCACTTTTGACATGGGCACTTTTCATACTGATAGGCGTTTCCTATTCTGGCAAGTAACTCCTAAGTGTGACATAAAAGACTCATGATTGGAAATAGTTTTACATCATTACATAACTTAAAACAGAGCAAAACAAAATTATATAGACTTTGTCATTCATACTTCCACTATAGAAACAAATCAGGCCCATTTTATCCCTCAAAATGTCAACTTTTATGGAGAGAACTTTTGAGCCCATTGGAAATTTTTTTTTAGATTTGCATAATTGAAATATGATAAAAACAAAAGCCATTAGGAAGTTTTAATTATTGTGCTCACTGATGCAGGCTCAAATGTAAGGATGCTGGAGAAAGTTTTTTATCTTGGCTGTTCCACACCCTTCCTACCGTGTATATACCTTGTTCTTGAGCGAGATAAAGGAGGCACATAGATTTCATTATGGAAAGTAATTCTTTTGGCTGACCTGGAATGACACAAAGGTGATGGAAATGAGGAATATTCAAGTAATAACGTTATGTCTTGAAACTTGTAAGGGTTGAAACTTGGACAAAAAAGAATTCCAAGATAACTTTCTATGTTATTCTAGAATGTAGGCTAATTACAACGTGTATTCAGTGAAATTAAAAACTATTAGTGATAAGAGGAAAGTTCGAGAAATGGCTAGAAAGTTTGAGAATTTAGGGACCACCAGAAAATCAGGAGTTTAAATTCTATCAGTGTCTCTCAATCTTTAAAACCTACATTCCCTTTTAATAAAAGATGGAAAGTAAAATATTCTTACTCATCACCATAAGAGACTCCCATCTGCGAATTTCAGGTCCCCAGCAGGTAAGGGCCTCCAATGACATCTGACTTTTGCTGGGTAACTTAGAGTATGCCATCGTATGTTAAGTACTTTACATGGTTTGTTTCATTTACAGTGACCCTACGGAGTAGGTATCATTGTTATCCTCATTTTACAGATGAGAACCTTGAGGTTCAGAGGATTAAAATTATTTGCATAAGGTAAACCAGCTAGTTTTTGTGGAGGTGGTATTGAATCACTTGCCTTTAACTCCGGTGCTCGCTGACCTTGGAGCTGTGCAGCTTTTTCTTTTTTCCATAGGGTTCCATTCACATCACCTGAGATCTAAATGGTCTAGGCTTACTAGGAAAAAAAAAAGATTTGCCAAACCTTAATTCTTTAAAATCTGTTGTAAGAAAACTAGACAATTAAAATTTCGAAATATAAAATTACATTTTAAATTTATAGAATTTAATATTTAAATTTATAAAATTATATTTACTATGCTTTCCAAACTATACCCCTTGAAGACCTTGATACACTTTGCCAGGAGTGCTTTCTTCCTTGTTTCAGAGTGACTGATTTTGAAATTAAAGAGGAAGTTATTTATATTGGCCATGTGGTAAAGAATTGCAATTATTATTTTAATAAGAACTTTTGACTAATAAAGTTTGAGGGATTTATTTGTAAGCCTTACTACTTTTACTGTAGTTTCTGTTAGAAATATATGTGGTCTCTTACAATTTTATTTTTAAAGTATCACCTTTATACAGAATATATCATGGAGCTTTACCAACAACAATTAAATATTGTCTGGAAAAGTGTCTTTAAAGATGAAATTGAGGTCAGTATTCATAACTGTGTGACTCAGGCCATCTGAGAATTCGCTCTGATTCATTCCTTAGCCAACAGTTGTGAGATTTCCCTCTCTGCCCTCTGTGGTACACAGCTTGGGACAGACTCTTAAAAGAGAGAGAAGCAGATCAAATAGCTAGTCTGAGGTACCAAGCTGTCTGAACTGCTGAGTTCCTTCCTTATTGGAGGGATATGGCTCTGGCCTTCAGCCTGCTCTGGTGCCCAAATTTTCTGCTGATCTCCTGGCTGTTAGTTCCACTAAGGAACTTTAACCTCCTCTCTTACTCTGCCTTTCACAATCCATGCCCCTTTGCTTATTGTTTGCATAAATGGCTTTTGATTCTACCAGTCTCCAGTGCCCCATGTTTTCCTTGTTCTGCCGAAATTGGTAACTAAGTGTACCCTAGAAATCCTAGGAAGCTCTGGGTAATTTTTGATGTTCTGAGGAGACTGACTGTACTACACCTAGAACTTTGGCAGCATCTGGGAGGACGAGGACCTGTATGAAAGTAGAGTCCTGAGGGTTCAAAAATGTCCTCACCAGGCAGGTGGTTGCATTGCAACTGGGCATATCTAGGAAGTAGATTAATATATCCTCTAGGCAAACAGTCACACAAAATCTCAGGAGAATTTTTGTAGTATCATCAGATTCAGTGGTACCAGAGGACAGGCAAAGTAACAGTAGGAGGTACTTAAGTTGGCAGATCTGGATATGGAATGTTGCCTTACATTTGTACCCTATTCAGATGTGGAGACAGTTGTCTGTGCTGCAGAGTTCTGACTTGGTGAACACCTGGGACTGAGTCTACATGTCAGTGGTGAACAGGCAGGGTTTTCCTCCCCAGAGTTACCATTTTAATGCTCTTGAGTGCATCGCAGTTTTTATCTATATTTCCTAAATCATATTCTACAAAACAGAAATATTATTCAAGATACTCCATGGAAAAAAAAATTAAAAAAAAAAAGATACTCCATGGAGAATAATGAATTTCATCATACTAAAAATTAGGAAAATACTTCATATTTCATCCCCTTTTTGGAGAACCTCAATGTACTTTAGCATAATCAAGTTTCTGAGAAATCCTGCACTGTGGAAACTTGTCTGATTTGTTTAGTTCACCATTTCCCAGTTTTTCCTAGCATCTTATTGATGTTTCTTTTTTACAGGACACAGTTTGGGAACGTTAGCCTGCATTCACAAGCTAGTCTCAGAGTCGTGTAGTACTTGCTCCTGGATTTTGTTAGGCAATTAGGACAATTAGAGAAATAGGCTGGTCTTGTCTGATGGTTCAGGGTTGTTAATCTACAAAGCCAGGATGGAGCTTACTAGAATTATTATATGCACAGTAGCAGGTTGATCTCCTGTATGAACAAAGCCACTTCTCCTGTTGGTTTTTATGTTCTGCTATGGCCTTCTAGATGCTGAAAATATAAGAGGGCTGACCTAAATGGTTTAAAGTGCTATATTTTTGTTTTAAAAAATCCATTATGAAATAACTTGTGGGTTTACTCCACTATTATGCACTTATTCTCCATATAACACTTTCAAATGTAATCTTAAAAATACCTTTGACTGGGACTTCCCTTGTGGTGCAGTGGTTGAGAATCCGCCAGCCAGTGCAGGGGACACGGGTTTGAGCCCTGCTCCAGGAAGATCCTACATGCCACGGAGCAACTAAGCCCGTGTGCCACAACTACTGAGCCTGCGCTCTACAGCCTGAGAGCCACAACTACTGAGCCTGCATGCCACAACTACTGAAGCCCACGTGCCTAGAGCCCGTGCTCTGCAACAAGAGAAGCCACCACAATGAGAAGCCCGCGCACCGCAATGAAGAGTAGCCCCCACTCGCCACAACTAGAGAAAGCCCGCGTGCAGCAACGAAGACCCAACACAGCCAAAAATAAAATATATAAAATTAAAAAAAAATACCTTTGACTAAGACCACATGCTAGAAAAATAGACAGTAAGTGTCATCTACAATAGGACCCCTCCTTTATATATATAAACAAAACACTGTCCCACATTTGTGAATTGGCTTAGAAGATGATGGCACATATGTAATATAAAATACTATGCAGCCACTAAAATAAATGGCAATTATGAAAATTATTTAGAAATATCTTAAAGTAAGATAAAAAAACCCGAATATAAAATGGTAAATATGCCATAATTACAACTAGTTAAAATATCCATGCATGTAGACAAGGGTTAGAAACTTATAGGCAAAAATAAAAATAATCATCGTATTAGTGTTGTAATTGTTGCTATTTTCTTATTTTATACCATTAAAATATTGTATCTTAACAGTCATAATAAATCAAAACTCTTTTTATGATTTTATTAAACCTGCCATAAATAAGGGATAGACTGCAATATTTTTAGATGTCCATTTAGAGCTGGTTATAGTTTTACTCTAAAATGACTATATTTAAATAATATAGTAAAAGATTATTGAGATTTATTATGTTTTTGGTGTATAAAAATATATACTTTTACTCCCATTTCCCTAGGTCAGGACCTCCTCATCTCTGAACTTTTTAAATAACCTCCTTGTTGATTCAGGTTTGCCTGATCCCCACCTCTTCATCTTCCACTTTTATTGTTCACCCTCCTTCTAGCCCATCCTCCATCTTGCTCCCTTGGAAATCTTTCCAAAACACAGATCTGAGCTGGCATGGTCAGTTTAATATCCCTCAGCAGCTTCCCAGTGCCCGGAGCTCTCTCCATCCGAAATAGTGCCAGGATGTACCCCGTCCTTGCCTTGCTCACGCTGTTACTTCTCCTGGAGTATTCACTTATGCTTCTGTCTATATCAGTGTCCTGGCAAGTACCTAATCCATGTTAGGAATTTAGTATGTGGTCTGAATTAGTGAACAGGTGAATAAAACCACATTAGATTGAGTGTTTCTACCGTTAGTTATTTTTTAAACCTATATATATGTTTATGATTGTAAAAGAATTGATTGAGATAATGTCTATTTCAGATGTAAAATGGAATCTGAAATAAAATCCTTACTCAATGAAGAGAACATTGGAAGTGAATGTCTTTCTGACCTTATGAATTTCGGTAGGTTTTTTTTTTTTTCTTTTTTGGTTCCACATTTAAAGGGGAGCTTTGTTTTGAAGATTAAAGTGGGCCACACACTTCATGTTCTTTTAATATTGCTGTTTGCTTTTTTCTAAAGGAATCCAAAAATAATCTGCATCTAATGACCTGTTCTTGAAGAAACTTAAAATAATAATGTGTTGCTTTGATTTAATTTTGTTTCACCATAGAACAAGAGTTATCGGAACAATGGTGCATATATCTTAAAAATGTAATAAATCCTCTTCAGCAATTGAGAGCAGATCTAAAATACAGACAGCATCACATTTCACAGCATTCACACTCGCACAGTGAATCCAACTCTGTGAAAGTACTGGAAGAGGTCAGTATACTTCCTTTACTTTTTTTGTTTGTTTGTTTTGCGGTTCACGGGCCTCTCACTGTTGTGGCCTCTCCCGTTGCGGAGCACAGGCTCCGGACGCGCAGGCTCAGCGGCCATGGCTCACAGGCCCAGCCGCTCCGCGGCATGCGGGATCTTCCCGGACCGGGGCACTAACCCGTGTCCCCTGCATCGGCAGGCGGACTCTCAACCACTGCGCCACCAGGGAAGCCCTCCTTTACTTTTAATAATGTAATATTTTATTTTTATCCCAATTAGAAGAGTTGGAGATAAGAAACATGTACGCCTTATGTATATAAATAGAAGGTATAGCAAATTCTATCTACTCGGTATCTTAAACATATCCCTGAATCTGTCCAAACATGCTAATTTCTCCCCGAGAATGTTTCGATGACCTCGTAACTGGCCTACCCGCTTTCATTCTTGCCCCTCCTTCCAGGGTATTCTGAAATCCTATCATAGGGGAGGGGATCAAGTTATCCGCCTGGTAAATCCCTTCAGGGCTCCTGCCGGCCCACAATTCCTCCTGCGATAGGGGCGGGGCGGGTGCGCAGCCGTTAACTGTTATCGAGAGATCGTTAGCGCGAAACCGTTAGCAGGCGACCACGAGCGAGTGACCCTTAGCGCTGCGGTTGGAGGTCCCGCTCCGACACCAGTCAGCTTTATGGTGGTCCTCGCGGCAGAGAATGTGGTGAGAGGCGGATCGCAGCCTTCTCCCCCGGACCCTCCAGGCCCATTGGCCATGGGCCAGCGGTGAGCTGGGGGGGCGCCCCGGGGCAGTTGTCGTCTGCGGAGCTCCAGAGCCCCTGCCACGGCCGCTCACTGGCCGGGCCCAGGCCTTGAAGCAGCCGCAAACCTCTCCTCCATTCCCACCTCTGAGACCTAATGGCGGCAGCGGTCTCCGTCGTCGCAGTCCATGGGTCCCGGCCCTGTTTGGGCGACCTGAGGGCAGGCTGGGCCCTGGGCGTCTTGCTCGCTCAGTGATGTCGGTTGGGCAGGGTCTGGGGACCGGGCGCTGAGGGCACTGCCCGCTGAGATCTGTCTCCTCAGCCGGGCCCGGGCTGGAGGACCCAGACTGGGTGCTGGACCAACGTTCCTGGGTCTGGTAACTGGCCGCGCAGGGACCCTCTTCTCTTAGCCTGGGCCTGGACCTCGGAGGGCGAAAGTTGAGCCTTGGGACCTTGCCCTTTTCCTGTAGAACAGAGAATAACATTTTGTTTTGGTGGAGGTTTACAGGAACATCATGACCTGACCATGACCTGACCTCAAGAACAAAGGATCTAAAAAAAAAAAGAAAAAGAATCTGACACCAAGAAGTTGGCAACAACTAACCACACCCCTCTCTCACCGTTCCTGTAACAGGGCTTTGCTGAAAGCTTTCGGGGAGTTTGGGTTTTTCTAAGGCACGAGCCACCTGTCGCGTGGCATGGCCCTGCGATAAACCTTTCTTTGCGCCAAACTCTGACATGTTGGTATTGTTTGGCCTCGCTATACGTCGAGCACACGGTAACACTCCCTGTACATTTCCCTATCCGCCTCCTTTAGTCTCACCTCCTACGTGACATCCTCTTTTTCCTACTAGACCTTGTCCCACCGATGCTGGCCTTCTTCCTATTCTTCACATAAGCCAGACTCCTTCCTGTCTTGAGGCCTTTGCACTGTTTCTTCTGTCCTACTCATGGCCCTTTTTGTCTTTTAGGTTTTAGCTTAAATGTCCTCTCCTCCGAGAGCCCTGTCCTGACCACCTGCATGAGAGAAGACCCAGTCACTCCCTATTACCTCAGCCAGTTTTTACCTCACTTACCTCTTCCTGATATTTTCTTACTTACTTTTTATGAGTTTAAGACTATCTTCCCTGACTAGAGCATAAGTTCCATTATCATAGCTGCCCTAGATGTAGGCTTTTAGGTGATTTTTCTTACTTTATTTTTCAGTTATTCTGTAGTATTGTCATATTGCTTTCATAAATAATAATTAAAAATAAACATTAAAAATCCATGTCCAACTAGGGATTAGAGGCAAGGGTGCAAGGAAAGGAGTGGGTGATTAAAGCAGAGGCAATCTGGAAAGCTTTCTGCTTCATCACAAACAAAATCCAAATGTGAGTGCAGAGTGGCTATGACTGAGCCCATTTTTGGGTTATGTGTCTAGAAGCTCCTTTAAGGCTCCTTTGTCTGATGGGCACTGCTTGGCTATGGCATCTCTTGAACCCTCTTCCATGGGTCCTCAAAGGGACTTTCCCTTATCTAATTTGTCATCATTTAATGGCTTTTGAGAAAAATTCCTGTGACTTTAAATATAAATATTGGCTAAATCAATAATTTGCATACCACTTGTTCTAAATGTCCTATAGGTTGACTTCGTGAAGAAACAATTGAAAGCCGTCTATGAAAGACTTAGGCTAGAGCAACAGAAAATAGAAAATTATCTTTCAGACTGGAGTTTGAAAGTAAGTGCGATATAGGTAGTAATTTATCAATTTGTCATTTACATTAAATAAAATAATCATACAATTTTTTTTCAGACACTTGATCATTCTTCAGAAGAAAGAAGTAAACTGCTTAGTGAAATGCCCGTGGAATTAGAAACTTTGGAATGTCCATACCCTGACTTGAAGTTTTCAATCCTTAATGAATTCTGTAACTTTACAGAGAAATATCAAAAGAAACTTCAAGATTTTGATATGCAGTTAGAAGATATATACAGGTAATAAAACTACTTGAATTATCTAGATTTTTGCCACCAAATTTTTACTTTTTTAGGGGTCACTATACTTCCTGTTTACTGTTTTCATAGATACTTTGTGACTGGAATACGACTATCAATAAATGTTTAGATTTACTGTTTGTTGAATAGAGAGGTTTTTTTTTCTCCAAAGTAATTTCCTTGAAATAATGGTTTTGAAGATTTTTATAAGGTTGAAACTTGATGAAAATATCCCTCTTATTTATCTCTTTACTACACAGGTAAGAAATAGTTTTCAAACTATTGATAACTATGAATTTTTATTTCAAGATGTGAAGCTCTTCTTCAATGGAAATTTACAAATCAGTACTAAAAATGGATTACAATGGAAAATATACCCATGGAATTATGTTACTTGTAATCTACTGTGATTTTGCCCTATAGTGAACACAAAGTATGTTTTATAAATTTTTTTTTTAGAAATTGAAGTTTTAAAAAGTGCATTTACAATATTGTGTTATTTTCATGTATACAGCAAAGTAACTCCGTTATATATATACATATTTTTTCAGATTATCTTCCATAATAGGTTGTTACAAGATATTAAATATAGTTCTCTGTGCTATACTGTAAATCCTTGTTGCTTATCTATTTTATGTATAGTAGTTTATATGAGTTAATCCCAAACTCCTAATTTTTCCCTCCCTGTCCCTCCCTTTCCCTTTTGGTAACCATAAGTTTGTGTTCTATGTCTGTGAGTCTGTTTCTTGTTTGTATATAGATTCATTTGCATTATTTTTTAGATTCCACATATAAGTGATAGTATATAATATTCGTCTTTCTCTGTCTGATTTAATTGACTTAGTATGGTATTCTCTAGGTCCCATCCTTGTTGCTGGAAATAGCAATAAGAAAATGCACTTTCGATTGTATCCTGAGAATGACAATCCTCTTCTGAATGACAACTATAATGTTAACTGACTTAAAATTCAGTGTCAGCAGGGCCATCTTCTCTAGTGTAAATTTTATATTAAAATTCATTTAATGAACAAACCCAGAAATGCCACCCTGGGTCAGAGCAATAGTCTACTTCATGTAGTTTTCTGTATATGAAGTTTCTGGGAAACGTTTTGTAGCAAAATATGCTTTTTATTATATTGACCTCAAAAATTTCCCCAAAGAATATATACCTGAAAAGAAAGGAAAAATATTGAAGGGACACATGTATAGTAAATTAGCAATAGAAGTAAAAGGCTCTTCCTTTGAAATGAAAGAAGATGAATATGACAAGTATTAGTATTTCTTATATACATATTTTTAAAATTAATTTATTTTAGTTTTTGGCTGCATTGGGTCTTCGTTGCTGCATGTGGGCTTTCTCTAGTTGTGGCGAGTGGTGGCTACTCTTCGTTGCGGTGCGCGGGCTTCTCATTGTGGTGGCTTCTCGTTGTGGCTCTCGGTGCATGGGCTTCAGTAGTTGCGGCATGTGGGCTCAGTAGTTGTGACTCGCAGACTCTAGAGCGCAGGCTCAGTAGTTGTGACTCATGGGCTCTAGAGTGCAGGGTCAGTAGTTGTGGCTCACGGGCTGTAGAGCACAGGCTCAGTAGTTGTGGTGCACAGGCTTAGTTGCTCCATGACATGTGGGATCTTCCCGGACCAGGGATTGAACCTGTGTCCCCTGCATTGGCAGGCAGATTCTTAACCACTGCGCCACCAGGGAAGTCCCTAAATGGGCTGTTTTGAATAAATAGAGGTGGTGGGCATCAGAAACCTGTGGCTGGTGGGGAGTAAGGCATGTAAATGCACTGTTCTAACTAGCGCAGTGAATTATATATTCAATTGTAATATTACTGGACTCTCATTTGCCAGTATCTGCCATTATTTTGATAAGGCCATTTCCCCTTTTAGTTCTAGTTATTAGGCCTTGTGAGAATTCACATAGATTGTATACATATATGTGTACACCTGCACAAGTGAGTGTGTGCATATTTTAAACAGGTGCCTACTGCTACAACATAAGGCTGAAAGATCTGGGGGACATTTTTAAATTGTGAGAAATTTTCATTGGGCTAAAGGCAGTGGACATCATGGTTAATCCCCAATATTTATTTTAATTCCTCCTATTTTGTAGCAGCTTGCCAGTTTGGGTTGGAATGACTCCAACCCCAGATCCAAAGGTAGACCCTGATTGGGAGTGTGCACCAGTCCATAACTTCATTCCCCCCGGTCACAACAATTAGCTCAGGGTGGTCCAAATCTAGGCAAAGCTCAGAACTTTTGTTAGATACTTGTGAGGAGTAGTGCATTTTCTTCTCTGTGGATCTACCTGGAGAGTACATGGCTGTGGTTGCTGCTGGCAGCCATCTTGTGAATGAAGGACAACAGCACGCAAGGAGAGGAGAGGGCCCAGACAATCATGGGGAAACTGGTCTGGTACTGTGTTTGAACTGCATGGGAAGCCAACCTCACTGCTGAATTTTCAAGGGCAATTAGTCCATATTAATGTCTTAAACCAGTTTGAGTATAAAATTCCTAATTTTATGTAATAGCTGATTTGGTTTCAAAATATCCATGACTCATGAAATTAATCTGTCAATTTAGTACAACTGCAATTGAAGAATTGTTCAACACTATTCCAAAATTTATTAGGAAGATTAAGCTTGTAAAATCACCCAAAGTGAAGAATAACTTCTTCAAAATGAAGAATAACTAGGGTGGGGGAGTGGTAAAACTTGCACAGCCAAATATAAATATATATTTTAATATCAAAGTAAATTAGGAAGTTCATATGTCTGTAGCAGATCAATGGAACAAAATAGAAATACAGAAAACAGAAAATATCTATAATAATTTAATTTATTATAAAGGTAAAATTTTTATACTGTGAGGAATTATTTATATGACAGCACTAAATAACAGGGAATTAGAAAGTTAGGTTAGATCTCTTATTCCTTATGACTCAGTAAACTCCAGGTGCATAAAATGTGAAGAAGAAAATAATCATAAAAGAATTAGATAAAAATAAAAACAAGTATTAAATAATCTTGGAGTGGAGAAGGCCTTTTAAAAACACATTACCTGCAGTGAAAATCATAAAGAAAAAAAATAAATGCAATGACATAAACATTTAATAAAATATAACGGGATGTTTCCTCAGGCAAGTATTAAATCTTTAAAGAATCAAAGGGACTTCCAGTTTTCTGTCCAGCAAGTAAGGAGCTTAGAATTTGCCACTCTGCTCTAATGAGGAATAGAAAGCTGAACAAACTGGAAAATCAACAACTCTTCTTAACTACCTCAGAGAAGTTAGGTCACAGGGCAAACCACTGCCCACAGAGCTGGAGACACAGGTGATACAGAGAATCGCAAATTACCTGAGAGGAAACTGGTTTAGCAGAAACTTTCAGGGGAACCAATGTTGGGGTAGGAACACCTGGACTGTAATTGAGGAATTGCTTGAAGCTGAGTTGTGGACAACTTTGAGAGTTAAAAACTCTAGGGGGCCTTAGTTAAGGGGGATGTCAGCACACTTTTGTGAGTTTTACCTCAAGAAGTTCTACCAGGTACCCACAGTGAATATCTGAGAAAAATCCCCTCATGCCTCTGACGAGGGAGGGGAAAATGAACCGTTTGGAAGTACTCCAGAGCATTCTGTTCTTAACAAAGGCTGCCCTCAGGAGAAACTATTTTATTGGAGCCTAAACTGCTACAGTTTTATCAGAACCTAACCTACCTGGGGGCGGGAAAATACACAAGTCCAGCAGCGCTAGCCTTCCATGTTGGGGACGGAAATACCCACCTCCAGCCATCCTGTCCCACCAAAGGGAGGGAAAACTGAGAAGGATTTGTAGAGTTCATAGTCCCCAGATTTTCGACTGTGCTGAGGGTCAGTGCCCCTAACCCCCCCCTCCCTACCCTTCTTGCATGTTGTCAAAAGGTCAACTGTATACTTGAATATACAGTGATTTATTTTTAGTTATTCATTGTAGTAGCTGAAGACTGAGGAAAAAATCTTAATGTCAATAGGAACTAGTTTTGTAGATTATTGTACAACCATACAATGTATTATTTTCCAGATTAAAAACAAAAAACGATGTAGGGAATTCCCTGGCGGTGCAGTGGTTAGGGCTCCACACTTTCAGTGCCAGGGGCCTGGGTTCAATCCCTGGTCGGGAAACTAAGATTGTGCAAGCCACGCAGTGTGGCCAAAAAAAAAAAAAAAAAAGTAAATACTTAGCATTCACTGATATGGAACACTTTCCAAGGGTCAGGATTAAGGTGTGATATAAGGTTAATAAGCAAGCCTTATATACAATGTACAGTACACATTGTGTAAAACAGGAAAAAGTAAAACACATACATATACATATTTGCTTTTATATGTCTGAAAAAATATGCAGAAATTGATAACATTTGTTGCCTTTGGGAATGGAAGCTAGATGCCTGGGTCGGGGGGAATGTGAGGGAGAATTTTTATTGTAACTCTCCCCTTTTATTATACCTTTTGAATTTTGAAGCCTGTGAATATACTGTCTATTCTAAAAACAAGGAATTTTTTAAGGAAAAAAATAAGGGTAAAAAACAAATGACAAATAGGAAACGTTGGCAAATATCAGGCACAAAAAATTAAAATCTCTAACATATAAAAACACTTTGCAAAATTAATTGTTGAACAGCCAGAAGAGAAAAGGGACAAAAGAGAGGAAGAAGTGACTTATCATTCATATTTTCCACAAATATTTGTTGAGCAATTACTGTCATAAAATAAACAAAAACCCCTGTGCTCATGAGGCAGGTTGGAGACACACAACGAACTATAAACACCCTAGGTAAGTAAATTATCCACGGTAGTATATTAGAAGGTGATAAGTGCTATGGAACAATAGCGATTAGAGGAAAAGAGAAGTTGCTGGGATTGTGGGGGAGGGGACAGACTGCAGTGTTTTTTTGATTCTTTTTGCATGTGGACCATTTTTAAAGCCCTTATTGAATTTGTTACAATACCGCTTCTGTTTTATGTT